ACCACCACCACCACCACCACAACAACAACAGCAAACCTTCTGATACTTAATACAGTACTTTAAAAACCAAACACTTCCTTTGTTTTGATTAGTTCTGGTGTTTTGCTCCCCACAGGAGCAGGTGTGTGGGGACAGGGCAGTAGTTAACTCTCAGTGGATGGTTCAAACCCAGGGCTCTTGGTTCTGAAAACAGTATTTCAGTGTGAGCGTCTGACCATGACAGTTCTCAGTTTCATCTGTTCCCTTGGAGTGGATGGCCAGCAGAGAGGAACCTGCTGAAGGACAGAGGCCTCATGATCCCCACGTTGCCACTGGGTACAGGAAGGGCCTTCTAGACCCTTAGTCTCCTCATAGCTGGCTGGGAGCTCCTCTGGATGCCCATCAGTGATGCTCTGAGAGCTGTCTGTGGAAGAGTGACCGGCCACATGGGTGCCCGTGGGCACTTTGCTCTGCCAAGATGCTCTTCAGGAAGGTGCACGCCCTCCTGCCCCATCCCTGCTTCACGTTGGAGTGTAGGTAGTGCCCTTCTTCCAGGTGTGCAGGGGTGCCAGGGCAGAAGCACTGCACAACACAGTCCTGTCCTAGAGGTGTTGTGTTCAAGGAGAAAGGTGAAAAGGTGTGGGGGTCCATTAGCGAGTGTCAGAGCTGAGGGCGCTGGAAGGGTGCCGGAAGGGTGCCGGAAGAGAGCCTTAGACTGCTGTGATCTCCCTGTGTCGATGGGATAGCTGGGCATGTGCTGTGTGCCAGGACAGTCTGGTTTGCTGGCATGCACAAGGAGACAAATTTCATCTCCAGTGTGTGTGAGGGTGGTGCAGCAGGGGCTGAGGGCAGGTGGGACTGTTGGGGGTCGGGCTCCATAGGGCTGGGGTAGCCGAGAGGGCAGAGGAGTAACAAGTGCAGTTTTGGAAAACCAGATCTGACTGCATTGTTGGGATCCTGATTTGATTCTCTTGGCATTTGGGACATGAGATACTGTTCATGATTTGGGGGCAGACGGGGATGGGACTGCAGCGAGCCTGACACCTCTTTCACCCAGCATGCAGTTGGGCCAGATCCTTTATAAGTTAAGTGGATTGGAAGGAGGTATAACTAGGTGAGCCTGCACCTGCTCTTGGAAGGCCACTTATCCCCCGACTCTTCTCTGGTGACACGTGCTTTCTGGCTCAGTTTTCTGGAGGGTTGGGTCAGCCTTTGGCAGCTGAGCTCTGGCAGCTGGCCACTCCAGTGTTCAGGTCGCTCCCAGACAGCAGGCCATGGAGGAAAGCTGCACCTCACTGCTCTCTTTGGGATGTGTTCTTCCAGGTCACCTTTTCTATAAATTTGGAATCACGGAGTCTGACTGGTATCGAATCAAACAGAGCATTGACTCCAAATGCCGGACAGCATGGCGGCGAAAACAGCGAGGCCAGAGCCTGGCGGTCAAGAGCTTCTCGCGCAGGACTCCGTCCTCGTCCTCGTACAGTGCCTCAGGTAGGCCCTGTGGCAGGCGGTGCAAGTGGAGCCTTGGGGCTCAGTGCAGGGGGAGGCCTCCCCCTAGCTGAGTCTGCAGTGGCCCCGGGACCCTTCCCTCTGGGTCCATGAGTGAGCGTGGTGAGGCTGAGAGAGCGCAGTAGCCCTGTCCTGCTTATCTCACCAAGGAACACCCTGGCCCTCGGCTCTGAGTCCCTGTGGGCTCCGGAGCAGAGGGAGGGTTTGCTCAGACCCTCCTCTCCTGCTGCCGTGGAGCTCCTGAGCGTCCGGCTGACTTAACAACACAAGCAACACTATCGTTGTTGGGGGAGTACCAAATTGTTTTTCTCTTTTTTTCTGATTTCGAGTTTACGGACCCAGACTTCTCCAAATAGTCGCGCAGTCTCGCCTCCCCGCAGGCGTTCCTGGAGAGGGACTTTCCCTGGAAGAGCGCTCTGCAGCCATGCTGTGCGACTTTGCCTTTCTGTTGCCTTTTCCCTGAGACATCTCAAAACACTTATAAAGTATTTGAATTAAATAATTTTCCTAGACTCCCCACAGCAGCTTCCTTGCAGGAGCTCTAGGAACCTGAGGGCTGGACGGGGTGGCCCTCCCGAGTGCTTCCTTGATTGGAGACGCTCTTCTGGGAGCTGCAGAGCACATCGCCTGGAGCTGTGTGCACATCCTTGGGGAAGCAGCCTCCTCCTGGCTGTTTTGGGGGGGTCATCAGACCTCAGCCTTGGCTATTGCCCAGGTCCTTGAGATGGATGTGGCTGCTGTGTAGGACACACAAGCCATACCTGGGCAGTGCTCTTGTGAGTGGCTGCAGGAAGAAGCTGTGAAGGAGGAATCAGGCCTTGCTGCCCTGGCTAGGAGTCCTGTCACGGGAGCTCTGCGGGACCTGGAGAACTGTGCTGGTGACGTTCTGCACAGGACAGAGAGGGTGCCTGTTGCATGGACACAGCAGCGGGAGTCATGGCTCCAGGCAGGGACGAGATCCTGTCAATGGGCGGCAGGTGTGGAAGCTGTGGTCACCTGTGTTCCCACTTTGTTCAAGTGTGGAGGCGTGGAGAAGGCGTTGGAATCTGTGTGTGCTTATTTTGGTAGTGGCTGTCTCTAGCTAGCCGGGTTACGGTTTTTATTTCATTTATGTCTTTGTGTTTGACTCTGGTTTCCACATTATTTCCAGTGAACACTGTATTAATTTTATAGTTTTTACAATGTTGTTTAATTCAAGGGGTGGAGATTTCTGCTTTTAGTGACCATGCAGTAGCAGGGCCAGAGTGAAGTCTCCTATAGACACCTGGACAGGATCTGAGAAGCTGCTTTGTGGACGTTGGGCAACAGGTGGCCAGGCCTGTGCTCCCTGAAAGAAGGAAGTGGGACCTGCCCCCACTCCGAACCCCTCTGGAGTGTGAAGCAGTGAGGATTGTCAAGTGTAGCCCACAGCCGGGCTGGGGCTGTGAGGGGCTGAGGCAGTGAGAGCTGTGGGGAGAGGGCAGGCTCCCTGTTGCCTGTGTGAGTCCTAGAGGCACTTGCCCAGGGGGAGGTTCCTAAGTTCACCTGGGCTGAGAGGCGTCCGGCTCCCACAAGACAGAACGCAGAACCCTCTGTGACAAGTCCAGCTTCTAGCAGGGGCACAAGAAGGCCTTGTCTGCTCAGGCTGAACTGTCCCCAGAGAAAAGTTGCCACAGTCCAGACACCTGACATGGAAAAAGGCACAAGGCCCCAAATCCAATCAAAAGAACCAGAGGGAAGGAGACTGAGACCAGCAAAACCAGGGTCAGGGAGACCAGTCTAAAGGAGCAGACCCGGCACGAACACGTCTGTTAAAGCTCTTTAAGGGGGAGCAGGAATGTAGTAGAAGTAAAGAAATAGAAGATACACAGCGCCATGTGGACTCTGGATGTGGACCACGCGGGCAGGGGTTTCCAGGGCACAGTGCCATTCTTGATTTCACTCATGTCATTTGGTAGGGCTGGACCCAAGTTAAATTCCCAGTCGGGGACAGTCTCCTCACAGATCTGAAAACTACTGGATGTGGTGCCCTGCATTACTAGGGCACTGAAGATCCTGGGGTGTGTCCGAGGAGGAGAAACGCGTCACCACAGGCACGGGCAGCAGGGCCTCCTCGCCCAAGGCTGGACTCCTTGTTCTGTGCTCAGGTGCCTCAGCTCCCTGAGTCCTGCTGTGGCAGGGGCACCTTGCACATTAAGGTACTGCTGCCTCTGGGCTAGCCTGCCCCTGTCACAGAATGTTTTGGAACCTTTGAAAGGACTGTTCAGAGCAGGCTTTGTGGTAGTGCTGGGATGTGAGGCCATTGTCTTTGGAAGCTAAAGGGTTTGAAATTGAGACCTCAGGGTGTGATTGTGCCTGGAGAAGTGGCCCTGGATGAACTGGGCTGCCTTGGGTGGGATGCTGAGAGGGGCACAGCACCAGCAGGTGTGGGAGGCAGACGCAGCCCAGCTGGGTTTGTTCATCATGGGGCCTCACGGCCAGCACCCCATTCCTATTCTTCATGAATGTTTTCCTAACGTGTTCTGTAGACCTTTCCAGCCGTCGGGTGGATGGCTTTGGGACTTAGTGCTCAGGTGGACTAGGTGTGGGACCGGCCTTCTGCAAGCTCCACTTGCAGGTGGACCGCTTTGGAAAAACCTTGCATTCAGATTCTGATTCAGATACCACGGCGGTGACCCGAAATTCTGTTTCTCACCAGCTCCCAAGTGACAACCACACCACCAGCCATGCTCACCCTTGAGCCAGGCTGTGCATTGGAATGGGTAGGGTCTTGGGCACGTTGACCTTCAGGTCCACTGCCGACTTTGCAGATGGAAATTGAGATGCCTTTCTCTCAAGCTCAGGTGGTCTGTGATTCTTCTTGTCTTACCGTTTTTTGTTTTTGTTTTAACTTATCAGTGTCTGTCTTCCAGTCCTCAGCGTTCCTTTCAATGGAATGTCTGACTCAGTTTAATGATAGTTTATCAAGATGTCAGTGTTTCTCTAAGATGCCGTGGGTCTCTTCACACTAAGTGTGCTGGTCTCTGAGGGGCACAGCTGGCCGCAGTGTGGTGGGTCTTCAGTATCTGAGCCCTGGGCAGGTCCCAGACGTGCCATGTCTGGGAGACCCTGGCAGCGGGCTGACTGAGGTGGCTTTTGAATATGGCTTTTTCAGAGAGGCGAGGCCTTGTACCAGGGGCAGGGCCTTCCTCGCCCTTCTCTTTGGTCAGCTGTCTCCAGCTTCCATCCTAGTGAAAGCAGCACTGCCCCATTAGCCTTCTGTGCCCAGTGTTTGGAGTAGGAGTGAACTCTAGAGGGCAAGGCCAGTCATCCAGACCCCAGCTGAGGGTGGTCAGCATAGGGGTGTCCCTGTGGCTTGAAGTGCTCCCTTTTCAGGGGAGCAGTGTGGCTTCTGATCATTGGGCCGCTGCTGCTGCCCCAGGCCCAGGCTCCTCCCTCCCTCACAGTTCTCCCTCACAGTGCCGGGTGAGTTGAGGACAGAGAGCACCTGCTTTGTAAACTTCAGTGGACTTAATTATTACTTTAAGGGGCTTCTAGAATCTGCCATTGTTCGTTTTGTGTCTACTCTTGGTCTAACAAAGCTATTTTGGTGACAGAAATAACTCAGTAAAATGTAATCAAGCCACAATTCTGGCTTAATTACATTTTACTGAGTTATTCAGTGAAGTTGTAATTCAGTGGGGTTGTCTCGTTCACCTTTGAATTCTCAACCAACAGAAAAGGAACTTCGAAACAAATAAATACTGTAGGTGGGATCCTGTGCCAAGGATAATCTGTTTAAAGATTATCTGTTACTGCCAGATTGAATACAAGTCATAGAACACTAGTTTCGAGAGAATTTCTAAAAACTGATTTATGAAAGCACTGTACCATGCTATCTGGCAACACCACCCAGATGTTTACACGTGCTTGAGTTTAATGTGGCTTAATTTTACTGTTTAAAACACACTGCGTAAGGGCTGGGGTTGTGGCTCAGTGACAGAGTGCTAGCCTTGCACATATAAGGCCCTGGGTTCCATCGTCAGCACCACATAAAAATAAATAAATAAAGTAAAGGTATTGTGTCCAACTACAACTGAAAAATAAATGTTTTAAAAAAAAAAAAAAAACAGTCTCATTGGCGAGTTGGCAACCGTGGCTGGGCATCTGTACAGTAGTGGCCAGTGTTTAGAGTTGAAGAGTACCCTCTCTTGAAGCCCACTGCCTGCACTCTGTGCACGGCTGCCTTTGCTTCCTTCAGTGAGTGCTCTGGATGCTGGGAGGAGCCAGGCCAGGAGAGGTGGGGAGACCCTGGCCGGGCCCTGTCTGTGGCTCCCGGTCCCACTGGATGGCAGCCTGCTACCTCCTCAGTGCAGTTCTGACCTGCGCTGGTGTGAGCATGTTCACCTCTGGTCACTGCTGTAGCTCCTGATCACAAACAAGTGGCCAGTGTAGATTTTTGCTCTAGATGTTAAAATTACTCTGCTTTAAACTATGGATTTAACTAAGTCTTCACATTATACAGTTGTGGTGAGCCCTTGATCAAATGGTAATTTCAATGATTTGAATCTTCCGTTTGGAAATCATTTGTATCATACTAACTAATCCTATCTTCTAGGATTTTTTTAGAATTCTACGTATGAGTAGAACCGTTCTTCTTAGGCATATTTTTAACCATTGGAAACCATCAAACTCCATTGATTATTATTATTATTATTTTTTTCCAATTGGAGCAGAAATACTTTGGGAGTCTGCTCAGTCATAAAGCTCTTATTAGCTGCTGTAGTGTTCTCTAAATATTTAGCTCTTGTACCTCTCATAATGAAGTTTGAAATGTTTTTTCTTGCTTTTTGTATTTGGTACTGGGAATTGAACCCATGGGTGCTTTAACACTGAGACAATCTCCAGCCCTTTTTATTTTAAATTTTGAAATAAGATCTCACCAAGTTGTTGAGACTGGCCTGGAACTTATGATCCTCCTGCCTCAGCTTCCCGAGCGGCTGGAATTATAGGCCGGCTTCCTTGCATATTTAAAAAAAAAATTTTTTTCTTAAATTTCTAGTTGTAGATGGATATAATACCTTTATTTTATGTATTTATTTTTATGTGGTGCTGAGGATCGAACCTAGTGCCTCACACATGCTAAGCAAGCACTCTACCACTGAGCCACAACTTGTTAAAAAATGGCCATTTAAAATTTTTTGATATTGTTTGAAGTAATTTAAAAAATATAATTTTTATCATTTTGCAAATATTATCATCTTATTATTGTTATGTTACTTTAAGAAATGTATTCAGTAGACTCTACATGCCTTGGCAGTCTGATGCCTACTAGGAGCTGCTTCAGAGGGCTTGGTGGCTCAGTGGTGGAGCAGAGCACACGTCCAGCTGGGACCAGGCTCACATTCACCGAGCAGTGTGCCAAGCAGTGTGCCGTGTGTACACCCCCACCCCCACAGAGTTGTTATTGTGTTTTTCATTTTTCTTCTATTCATATTAACATTTAACTTTTTTTCACAAAATTTTCTCCCACTGTAATATATTTTTATGTTTAAATGTTTTTTAATTGATCAATCATAACTCTCTACAAGAAAAATATATATGCATTAAAAATTTCTTTAGCCCTTAATGTTCTAAGTGTGTTGGAAAATTTGGATGGAGGGACCATTACCATTAAAATGAACATACATCAAAGCAAATATATCTTACTTTGGGTAAACATAGAAAGTAAAATTTTCTTTTTGAAGTGTGTCTGAGTGGATGAGGCTTTCCCCTGTTTATTACTTTTTAAAAATTAAATAGCTTAGCAGATAAAAATGTAGCGGTGGGAGGTAGTGACGGGACACCAAGTCCTGCTGGATGTGAGCGTGAATCGTGCTGTGAGCCAGGCCTGCTCGTGTCTGCAGACGTGTGCCACTCCCCTGTGGTGAAGACTCTTGGAGCCCTCTCCTCCCTCCCTTTGCAGAGTGTGGCATGCTGTCCCTCCCTTGGTAACCACACTGTGCAGTGGCACCTCTTCCCTAGCCACCGTTGCACTCCAGGGGCAGACACGACGGACTGATGGCCCAAACAGGGCTTCACACCATTGGGTCTTGTCTTTTCATCCCTGCAGTTACATCTGGTGCTCTTTGTTCACGTGACCAGGCTTACGCGAGTAGCAGGGGTTTGTTATGACAGTGGCCCTGATTTTTTACACTCTCTGGTCTTGTGTCAGAAATTTCAGTTATCCCAAACTTACTATTAGTGACCCTGCAGGAAACTGGGGACCTGCTGATCCACATCAAGGGGTGAGGTGTGTCTTATGTGAACTGAGGGGCAGAAGGGACCTACGCTGAGGCTGTCTGTGTGACGCCCTGTGCTCCCACTCCTGTGCTCCCACAGAGACCATGCTGGGTACCCCACCACCCTCCAGTGAGCTCCAGCAGCCGCAGCCGCAGGCCCTGCACTACGCCCTGGCCAACGCACAGCAGGTGCAGATCCACCAGATTGGAGAGGACGGGCAGGTGCAAGTAGTATGTATCTTCTCGCCAACGCGACTGGGAAGACTGGGGCGGGGACTGCGGGGGGGGGGGGGGGG